CGTGTTTGGATGCTGGCTCCTGGCACAGGCCGGGTCCAGCCTTGGTCGTGGGTATATGGAGAGTGAACGAGCAGATGTAACATTTCTCTGTCTCTGTGTCTCTATTCAAAGACATATAATTAAACATATATATTCAAAACTATTGAAATAATTAACACTCTAGATCAACCATAACCCTACTTCACACAGTGTGTGATATGTTTAAGCTCCTTTTCTTATTTTTCTCTGTTGTTTGATTTTTTTTTCCTGTAAATGCACTTGAACCTTTGATTTTCTCAGTTGAGTGAATCTCAATTCATTATGCTACCTTTCTTCTGTTAGTTTTCCTTGCAAAGTCGAGTGAAGTGAATCCACGGGCAGCAAAGTTTTGTCTTCAGGCCATGGAAACAACATTCATTGATCAGATTGTTCTCTTTCTACAGTGGATAATGGTCTGAGGAGGGAAGTGGCCCGCCGCTATGTAAGCTTCTCTGAAGATCTCAGAAGCACAATATTTGGAGAAGAACATCGCAGTGCTCCCAACCATTCCCAGAGAGCAGAGAGCTTTGCTGTGTGGGGTGCTCAGACCTTCACCTCTGGCCAACATTACTGGGAGGTGGATGTGTCATCCTCTTCCACCTGGATTTTGGGAGTCTGTTATGATTCCAGCACAAGTGATACCAGCGACATTATTCATTTTGAAGAAGCATTTCTCCTGGCCTCCCTGAAGAGTAACAACCATTACGTCCTCTACACCAGTGTTCCACCCTTAACTCACTATGTGAAGAGGCCCCTGAGTATGGTTGGGGTGTTTCTGGATTGTGACCATGGAACAGTGGGTTTCTATGATGTTGACAAAGGTTCCCTCATACATTGTAATGTTCCAACCCAGTTTACTTCTCCTCTGAATCCCTTTTTTTGGCTTGGTCCCCCATGACATGTCAGGTTTGATGATGATTCTTTGTGAACTCCCATATGGAGGAGCTCGCCACCCTGGGATATTTTTATGTGAGACAGCAGGATTGTTTTGGAGCACGTTGTAACTTCATGAGCACAGTGTCGTCATAATTAGAGCTTGGTTAGAAACCACACAGCATACAACTGCAATGAATATATGAACGTTTTCTATTAAAATTTATTTTAGTAAAGAACTTTGAAACTTTCACAGTTATCTGACCCCAGTACTTTTTCATCATGCTGTAAAGAAATTCAATGTCTATTAGTGTACACTCCCCGTGGGCATACCTCCTAACTCCAACACCTGAAAAATCCTTTTCTACTTTGACATTTGTGGGGTTGTATATTCTAAGCATCATATGCTAATAAAATGATAAAATATGTGGCTGTGGCATCTTGTTTTCCCATTTAGCTGAATGCCACCAAGGCACGTCATCATGCAAACAGCCTTTTATTCCCATAGTTGACTATGTCTTGGGTAGTGGAGTGAAGTCTCTTCTCTCACTTTACTAAAGAAAATGAAGTTTGCAAAGGTTTTTCCTCAAATCTGGCCTTTTGGGGTAGATGCAAATGCCTGACAACCAATCACTTCATCAAGTCCTGGTCATTCATTACATTTCAGCTCAGTTTTTTTTCAGGAAGCCCTTCACGACTGCAGAGATCACACACTCTAAGCATAACATCCAACATCACCAATAACATCCAACATAAATTCAACCAACTGGTAGTTAATGATAACTGCTCAGTACAAATTCCCAATTTTCCAAATGGAAAATCTTTCCTGGTGCTGTATTGCTATTACCCAGAGCACTGTTTTGGACATATCAGGCAAAACAAATGTAGTCAATGAGTGGACTAAAGAACAAATAAGAGGTTAGTATTGGGGCCGGCGCCGTGGCTCACTTGGTTAATCCTCCGCCACCAGCGCTGGTTCTGTCCCTGTTGCTCCTCGCTCCTCTTCCAGTCCAGCTCTCTGCTGTGGCCCAGGAGGGCAGTGGAGGATGACCCAAGTGCTTGGGCCATGCACCCGCATGGGAGACCAGGAGGAAGCACCTGGCTCCTGGCTTCAGATCAGTGCATCGTCAACCCTAGCGACCACTGGGGGAATGAACCAATGGAAGGAAATGCTTTGTCTCTGTCTCTCTCTCTCACTGTCTACAACTCTACCTGCCCCCTCACCCCCCCCCCCAAAAAAAAAGAGAGAGAGAGAGAGTTAGTATTAACAAAGTTATTCTAACATCAAGAACATTCATGTTTGGCTCAGTGGTTTCAGATCCACTTGGAATGGCCACATCTCTTTTTGGAGCACTTGGGGACATGTCCTGCTCCTCTGCATATTCTAGCTTCATGGTAACAATGGGCACTATGGGCAACAACAGGTGATGGCTCAAGTACTTGGTTTCTCCCACCCTCATGCAAGACCCAGAAATACATTTCTGGATCCTAGCTTTGTCCTTGCCCAATCCTAGCTATTTTGGGTAGTGAATTGGCAGGTGGAAACTCTGTAGGCTTAATATTAGGTAGTTGGCTAACTCAAGTCACTACTAATTCAACTAACTGTGATGGTCAATCCTGTCTCAAATGTCCAAAATCTACAATATTTCTGGGTGAATCTCTCAATGTGTCAGAAGATGAAACTAGTTTTATCTTTCCCCAAGACCACAAACTCTTTGTTTTAGAAATAAAAACACCGTGAGAAGTGTGTGCGTGTGTGTGGGGGGGGGGGCAGTTTGTTGAAAATACAAAGCAGCAATCATACCAAAAGTGAGTTTCTGCTTTATACTCCCAGCCAGAACACAAGACGACAGGATTTCCTCATCAATGCCAAGCTCAGAATAAATAAATACTCACACACAAACAAAAAAGAACCACCATGGAGACAGCATCACATTACAAACTCTTTCTCTTGATAATTTCTGGTTTCCAGCTGACCAGATAGGTTGTTCTTCTTCTGTTTTAAAAGAGATTCATTTTATTATTTATTTGAAAGTCAGAGTTACACAGAGTGGAGAGGCAGAGAGAAGGAGATTTCCATCAACTGGTTCACTTCCTAATTGGCCGCCACGGTCAGAGCTCCCAAGCTAGGAGGCAGGAACTTCTTCCGGATCCCCCACACAGGGCACAGGGGTCCAAGCACTTGGGCAATCTTCACTGTTTTCCCAAGCCATAGCAGAGAGTTGCATCAGAAGTGGAGTAGTCGGGACTCGAACTAGCGCTCATATAGGATGCTGGCACTGTAGGTGGCAGTTTTACCTGCTTCCCCCAGCGCCAGCCCCTTGATGAATTTCTTCTCTCACTGTGTCATCCTTTCTGTGCATGTGAATGGTTTTATCAGCTGAAGCTGTTAGTAATTAACTTTCAGATTGATCAAAAGCACAAACGAATATTCCAGATTCACTGTCCAATGACCCAGGCTGCACCCCTGCGTGGACTCTGAAAATTGGAGCCAGTTCTCCAGTCCCAAAGGTGCATAGTGCCCTTGTCAGCTCCACATACAAGTACTCCATCAGAATTTGCAGTCAATGTGTTAATAATAGCTTTATGTCCAGACACAATTTGAATGAAACATCCATCAGGGAATTTCCACTGTTTGATGTTCTGTGGCGAACCAGAGCAAATGTGTAATGTCTTGGATGTAACACTCCAGCTGTCACTGATCCTTTATGATTTGTTAATGGCACTCTCATCTTCCCAGCCACCGGATCCCATAATCGTATTGTAGTGTCATGGCTTCCTGTAATAATTTGTGGTTCTGCAGCTTGACACTTCACTGTAGCAACTGCATTTGTATGTCCAGAAAATGTGTGTACACTGGCGCTTGTTCTCACATCCCAAATCTGTGCAGTTGAGTCTCGACTACAGATTACCAGCACATCGATTGTTGTGTACAAATCCAAGCCCTACACTGTGCTCAGATGTCCATGATAATGCCTTAGAACCTTATAACTTTATTTTACACTGAGGGCTGAGAGTGCCAGGCTTTTGCACAAGCTGACACTGGCAGGACGTTAGAGGGCAGGAGGATGGCAGAAGTCTCTGTGCCTCTCCTCTGCCTTAGAGGAACCACCTCTTCCCAATGCCACCCTCCTTGCAGAACTCTGGTCCTGTTGTAGTTTATATCACAAACCTCCTTCACCCATAATTAGGGTGGTCACGGCTCTTTCAGATGTTACTTTCTGGGTTGTTTCACTGTCTCATGTTTGGTTTTTCAGGTCTTCCTTCACTCCCGTATCAAATACCTGGCAGGAAACGCCCCTATGGGAGCTCTCTCTCTCTCTCAGTCTATAGAAAGAAAGAAAGAAAGAAAGAAAGAAAGAAAGAAAGAAAGAAAGAAAGAAAGAAAGAAAGAAAA